TCCAGTTACAGGGCACAATCGACTCATGGGACTTCAACACGACCTGTCTAACCGGCCTCCGACCCCCCGGCAGCCCAGTCCCCTCCGGCCCCCCAAGCCCGCGCATCTCAATCCACGCGCCAGACTTCCACCACCACCCCCGCGAGCGCAGTCATCTCGCGCCCGTCATAGCGGAGAACTCGCCGCCACAAGACGATGGGATTGATCTCAGTGCATTAGCTGCTCTCCGGAGACGTGAGAGCGGCGATGTCAAGGGCAAGGAGCGCGAACGCGAGCAGGAGGGAGGAGGACTGACGGTGTCGGACGAGAGCGACGATCGCGATCGCGCGTACCGTGTTTCGCCGGCGTTGAGCGGGATCACGCCGTCGAGCCCGGCGAGCAGTCCGCCGACGAGCCTGCTCGACGGGAGCGGCAGCCGCGAGAGCCTCGCGGGCATCGATACGGCGCCGACGTCGGCTGGGCCGTCTGTGCTTGAGCCGTCGTCGCCCGCGCCTGCTGCGTTCGCGGGCTTCTTGGTCGATGTGCCCGTTGCGGGGCCGTCGAGCCCGCCGATACATATGCCGCCTGCCTCGACGGCGCCGGGGGCGAGAAGACCGGCGTTCCCTGAGGATGCGCGAGCGGATACTGCACCTCCCAAGTCCCGCCTCACGCCATTGTCGTCCTCACCACCACGTACCCCAATGTCATCCGTCCCACCCAAAACCGCCCCTCTATCCTCCCAACCTCCAAAGGCCCCCAAGACCTCCCGCGCCAGCGCCCAAATCACTGCCGGCCGCGGCGGCGGCATCGCCAAACCAGCCATGGTCCGGCACTCGAGCTTCGGCACCGACAAAGAGGGCAAGAACTCGAGCGTGCGGAGGGGCAGCGACGGCGGCGCGGGCGTCACAAGCGGGTTCTTCGCTAAGATTCGGGGGAAGAAGGAGGATCTTAAGGAGGCTGCTAAGGCTACGGGCGGGCGGTTGACGGGGCGGAGGGGGTAGTGCGACTGTCGCGCTGCGATATTATGCCTTGCGTGAAGTGTGCAATGGACGGTGGCTTCGTGGATCTTGCTGATTGCTCGTTGTCGATGCATATGGCCGACTCAGACGGACGATGCGCGTCGGTTCTGCTTATTATCTTGTGTATACTATACCCATCCCACTCTTGCCTCTGATGCTTATGCTGGGGTTGTAAAATACCGCATCTTCTGCTTATGTCTGCTCGTTGCTCGTTGTTGCTGTGCAATCGCGTTGTTTATAGATTACGGCTTTACGCCGACTTGTAATACTCTGTCATATGCATTTCATATCATGATGGTGTTGCAAATACATCGTTTGAGTATGCAGTACAGATGATTAGTGCCCTCTTCGTGCAGCCGCCAAACACTCTTCCTCGAGACCTTTCACCCAGATCACCTCAATACCAGCATCAGTGAGCCGTTGCGCCCCCTCGCACTTGACGAAGTCGTCCGGCTCGCCCACACCAATGATACACCGTCTGATCTTCGCCGCAACCAGAGCATCCGCACACGGCGCGAGACCCGACGTGCGCACCGAGCAAGGCTCAAGTGTCGTATAACAATCCGCTTCTCGCAGGAGATTGTCGATATTCTGCGACGGGAACTGAGCGAGCTCGCCGGGCGTCATAGAGCGCGCTTTCGCGAGCGCGTTCGCTTCTGCGTGCGTATTGCCCGGAAGCTCGCGCGAGTATCCGGTGGAGAGGACTTTAGGCTCAGAGGGTGTACGGGTGACGAGGACGCAGCCGACGCAGAAGGCCGTTGGTGTGGGTTCGCATTTGGCGGCTTCGGCCAGCGCGAGGCGGAGATACTTGATGTGGGTATCTTGCGGATACGATGAGATCGGTCATTGATGTACTGAGATGTGGCGACCGACCGGTTTCGGCGGCCATTCGGGAGCACGTCGCGGTGAACTTGAGAGGGATGATTGGCGCAGGTAGGGAGTATGTATAGATCTGATCGCAAGTTGCCGGGCGTGGATGTCGCGTGGATGAAGAGGGATATGCTCGAACTATGAGCTTGACCGTCGACCACCATCTGCTCATACCTCAGGTGCTAGTAGTAGGAATTCCACAAAGCCATGACCTCCAACGACGAGTATGGAGATTACAATGTCTTACTAGCATTTACTGATGCTTGAGATCAGCGATACTGCAACAACGCACTCCACGCCGCTGAGTCCTGGCGCCACGAGTCATCACCAGCCAGCCATCCCAGATTCCCTCCCAGCCGAGATCCTTCAGCTCATTTTCGAAGAGCTCTCTCTTCAGTCCCCCATCAATCTGACAATGAGGGAATTGGGTTGGCTGGTGGTCAGCCATGTTTCGCGTCGCTGGCGCGAAGCCGCGATCGATCATGCCGGTTTATGGTCGACTCTCGACCTCGGTCAATATCAACTTTGGCCCATCTTTTTGGAAAGGTCCAGGGATACACCTCTCTCAATATAGGGTACTTGAAGGGACAATACTGGCGAACGTTGCTGGTCGTATATCGCGGCAAACATTCATCGCGTTCGCACGTTATCCCTCGAGAATGTCGGTCCGAGCGACATAGCCATGATCTTGTCCGTGCTACGTAAACACCTTCCCAATCTGCGCGACCTCACCATACACACGTACTCTGCTGCACACAGTCGCGACTCGGCCAACCTCCTTCCAGCCGATTTTCTGTCCCAGATCGCGCCTAGCATCTTCTACATGCGTGTCCACAATATCGGCTTTCCTATGGGCTCAAGCACGGCACTGAGGTTTCTAGTGCTTAGTAGAAACCTTGACTCCAATCGCGACGCCCCTTCCCCCACGCCGTATACTCTGGCTGAGGTTCTACTCACGTCGCGTCAATTACCAACCCTCGAATTTCTCTATCTCCGTCATATATTACCCTCCGAGATGATAGCGGAGTCAGCATTCAATCAGTCTATTCAACTACCTCATCTAAAGAAGCTGGTCGTCTCGGATGTGGAACCTGTCTGCGTGGACCTGTGCTTCCTCCTTGACATCCATTCCACAGCCGAAGTCTCCGTCGCTCTCACACCAGACAGACTTCATGTTAGCGCACACAGCATAGAGCGACTTTGGAGGAAGCTCGGGGACCCTCTTCGCGTCTGCGTTGGCGATGCCGAACTGACGTTCACCTCCATTGAATTCATGCTTGGCGACAACGCGCCGTCGAGTTCCATCTTTAGACTCGGAGATGCCGGAACGAAGCCAATCGCCATCTCACACGATCATGACTACCTTCATTACAGTCCAAGGACCGTTGCATTGACACTGTTCACGCGCGAGCGCTCCTTATGGAAGGAAATCATCTTACCTGCCACGCCGTTATCGCTTGTGAAGCACCTTCGTTTTGGCACTACGATGTTCCCCAGGCCCGCTGAAGATATTCAAGTCATGCTTCAAGCTACAAAATCCGTGACGTCTCTCACTCTAGTGGGGGCGTCTGCGCATCCAACCATGTCATGTTTGGCCCCTTCCGGCCCAGACGGCATGCTTCTACCCAAACTGCAAGAACTCCGACTCGAAGACGTTTCCTGCAATTCCATTCCGCCCACAGGGGACGTGTCCACAACAGTCATCGAAGAGCTCAATTATGCCCTCGACAGACGTTATCAACACCACGGCTGGTCGCTATCTTCGTTGACGTTTCAGGGATGCGAGATCGACACGCCTTCTTTGGAGGAGCTGAGAGTGGCGGGCAGATGGGGTGGGCGAACGCGAGTGGATCGTATTACCGAAATTGTGTAGCGTGGACATGCTGGAGGCGGCATACGAGCGCCTGTAAATCTACATCCGTATTCATAACCATCACGTGTCCTGTGATCATAAGATATCACCTTTTGATATGGCTGGAAGAAAGTCATGTGTTGCCAGGATTGACCCAGCAGGACGTGTACGCCCCATACAGTGCGGAGCGAAAGCTCGGCCAGAATTCACCGGCGGTGCGGGCTTGATGATGCCGTGAGAACCGTGGCGTACACCAATACTGGCAAAGGACCTGCTTTGCAAAACATTTTTCATAACTGTACAGCCCCTTCAAACACCCCGCTAACCCCCATATTTTTTGCGTAATCCTCGAGAGTACCTAATTGGCCTCACGATCCTAGAGTATCAAATATTTTAAAGGACTGGTTATAGCCGTACTGGCTGTTGCAAGACAACGTCTCGATTTTGCATCGAAGTGACCTCCTGAAACGGGACCTCCACGTGGGCTGCCCGACCCTTGCAGCGCTGTAAACACCTTACAAGAACCCCTTTGGTGCATACGAACTAAACAGACTCAGTCTTACGAGTATATTCTACCCCTGCTAAAATTTTTGACGTTTTTTGGCTGGTGCATGGGATTGGAATTCGTGTTGCAATCCGTCAACGGTTCGGCGAGCTGATCCGCGTCAAAATGCGCTCCCACGGGTCTCTGAAAGCCACTATTCCGTTTCTACTGGTACACTGATCGGTCTCATATGTGTACTACCTACGGTAGAGGATTCTCACTGCACTAGCGCACCTCCTGCATTTTTTTCGAAGAGGAGCGGCGGAGAACTGAAGAGTGGATCGCAGTTTTGCAACAAGGGTTGCGTTTGCAAAGCCGGGTCATTGGGAGTACCTCGAGGGCGATCCGCCGCATGCGCCTTCGTCCCGACCACCATCCTACCCTCGCCGTTCACGATTCAGAAACCTTACCCGTAGTATCATCGATGTCGTACAGTGGATCATCATCGAATCTGAGGTGCGCGTGGACAAATCGCATCTTACCAACGCTCTAACATGCCTCTCAGTGTGGCACTTGCGCGCACGCGTTATCTGGACGCCTTTCAGTCGATAGTTGCCTCGACACCGAGGCTGAGACCCACCGACGCGCAAGCGCCATCTACGATAGGTTGTCTAGAAGAGGAAACAATGGACATACGTCTTCTGTTGAGCGCAGTGAACGAAAGGCGAAACGAACTTTCCCTGATGTCTATGTTGCCGCCCGAGGTCATGGCGCACACCATCTTCTTTCTCATCGATGTATGGCCCATCCGCCTAGGCACTGAGGACCGTTTTAAAAAGACACTTGGATGGGTTACCGTGACGCACGTCTGCCGACGCATGCGCAACATTTGTCTAGAGCAGCGGTCGCTTTGGGCCCGCTTATCCCCGGATAATAGACAACCCTGGGACATCTTCATCGAACGAGCGGGCGGGTCGCCCCTTATCGTCAGAGGCTCATTGGGCATAGAGAAATACGTACCAGGACGCATACAAGCCATCCTCGAGCGTCGGGATCGGATACAGGAACTCTCCTTAGATTTTATCTACTATCCTCGTCTTCGCGAGGTAGTGCAAGGTCTTGCTGGGTCCCTGTCCCATCTGCGAGTGCTACGGCTGTCTTCGGCAGACTATACGGGGAAGCTAGAGTCGCGCGCTGTGCTTGATCCACGACTGTTGGTCGATGTGGCCCCGGCGCTGCGTTGCCTCGATATCACTGGCATTATCTTCCCATGGGGCTGCGGCTCCGCGAGCCTCACGCAGTTTCACTACACATCCAACGTCAGCGCGCTACCTATGAGCTCCATGCCGCTTAGCATCGATGACATCGTCTCTTCGTTGCGATTGATGCCGGCGTTGACATCTCTCAAACTGGTCGACGCATGCCCGGCGCTTGCGACCAAGCCCATCAATGCGGTCCGCCTACCGCAACTTGAACATCTACATATCAACACCCAAGACGACTCTTGCTGGCATCTTTGGTCCGTAATGGATCTTCCTCGGCTTTTGCATGTCCATATCCGTGGCGGGCATAGTGAAGGAACTGCCGCCCTCATCACTTCGAGGTTACGGCTATTCCACGCCTCTCATGCACCGTGGAGCCACTCGCTGCAGGTTAGGCTCGGACAGGCGTTCATCGCATTCACATTGGCGAAGGACGGGCTATTTGCTTTCTCCGAATCGCCTCTTACAGGACGGCTGCCCTCCATCACGCTCGAAGTTCGCCGCAGCGACATGCAGTCCATGGCTCGCCATCTCATGGATATAACTCGACCTGACCATACCACCACTATCGATGTCACGGTCCCAGAAAGAGTTGATTATGACCGGGCCTTCTTGGGCTTTCGCGAGGCCTTCATGCCTGCAAGTTCGGTCACGACACTCGTCCTTCGTCAATTCACAGAAGCTGGTCTCGCAGCTCTCATACCGGATGACCGTGCTCCTGGCTCTCCCCCCGAGGCTAACCCAGCAACACTCGACGATAACGGCCACTCTCCCGTTACACTGTTTCCACACCTACGCAACCTGACATGCGTATCCATGAACTTCACAATCGTCACCGATCGCTCTCATCCTAACATCCAGAACCACTCGATGATGGACCGGGTTCTGTTGGACCGCTCAAAACAGGCAGACGGCGGTATCCAGCAACTGACCATCCAATCCTGCGACGTTTCGTCTGACTGGGTCAAGGGTTGGTCTGAGTACGTTGGGGATATGCATTGGGACGGGGAGCAGGGGAGCGAGGCGCAGCGTGCACCCTCCCGCCGTCCACACCCGCGCCGTCGGTTAAACCCTCGATTTCATGGTCCCCAAAGGCATGAGATGACCGACGAGTCGGAGGATTGATATGTATAATGCCAAATAGAGATGAACCCGTATACTATTACAATGATCGCGATGTACTATATATGTAGTCCCGGGACTGCGAGATAGATCATCTACTATCGCTACATCAAGTGCCTTCCGAGACGCTCAGTTCAATAACGCGCTTGAAGGGTATACAACATGGCAACTTTGACGGAAGAATAAAGGATAGAGACAACGAGATGTTGTCATGACATGGTGGTACGAAGCAAGCGCCATGGCCAGCGGACGCGAACCTCTCCGCGCCGCCGCGCCGCGCCGCGTCTCGCCACTTTGACCGCGAACTATCATGTCTTTCGGCCGTCCACCTTCCATCAACGCTGGCTTCACACCTTCCCCACCCGACCGCGGCGCATTCCCGCTAGACCACTATGGTGCGCCTATAAATTACACAACTTCTCACAAGCAATACTGACAAGAATGACGCGCGCAGGCGAGTGCACGCAATATATGAAGACGTACCTCGAATGCCTGAAGAAGAACGGGAGCACGTCGACGGAGTGTAGACATCTAAGCAGAGATTACCTGAACTGTCGGATGGAGAAGTGCGCTCCCATCCCACTCTTGTACTGTACGCCAAGGCTGACGAAGACACTGTAGTGGACTCATGGGCAAGGACGAGTGGAAGAACCTTGGGTTGGCGCAGACCAAGGCGGACGGATCATCACCACCCAGTAATACTGGAGGCAAACCAACATAATTTATTTGCACGATCTACTTTCCATTGGGTCATGTGTATCATACTGTACCTTTAGCACTACTATGCTCATGTTCACTAATCGGTCAACCGGACGATCTCGAGTGACGCATAACGGTCTTTTCCGCTTCTCCCCGCCTTTGCCTAGCCGTGTAAGAGCCCGACCGGCCTAGAGTGGGCTTTCCTATCGGGCCACCTTGCGCTTGCATGCATTCGAGCGCTCTGAACTGCAAATGCGGCCAAGTAGTCGCTACGTTAGTGGCTCGCCGCTCGCGCTCAAGAAACACCTTGCAACGTCACGACGCTTCGCGTCCGCTGGTTTTTGTTTCTCATCACCATGTCATGTCGACATTTCGTTCTCTCTGTCGTTCTGCCCAACTGCCAATGATGTGCATCGTTCAAGTATGTTCTGCAAGGCGCTCGACGCGGTATCGAATTCATCTCGAGAATCCGGGGCTATAACGCATGATACAGTACGTTGCGATGTAAAGGTCCGCAAGTCCGTTTCCACCCCCTACCAATCGCCCGTCTCTACGCCCATATCGTGATTGCGTGGCCCACGGGCGTCGTATCAACGGCGCCGACGTCGGGTGGGTGCGGCGGCGCTCCCCTGCTCCCCGTCCCATTGCACATCCTCGACGTACTCAGACCAACCCTTGACCCAATCGGACGAAACGTCGCAGGATTGGATGGTCAGCTGCTGGATGCCACCCTCCGCCTGTTTTGAGCGGGCCTTCAAAACCCGGTCCATCACCGAGTGGGTCTGAATGTTAGGATGAGCGCGATCGGTGACGAGTGTAAAGTTCATGGATACGCATGTCAAGTTGCGTAGGCGCGGAAACAGCATGATACGAGATTCGTCGCTATCTGAGAACGTTGATGGGCCAGCCCTTGAGGGAGAATCGGAAGCGCTCTCAGCCCGTGTGAGGGCCGCGAGGCCAAATTCTGTCCGTTGACGAAAGATGAGTGTCGTGACCGAGCTCGCGGGCATGAAGGCCTCATGGAAGCCTTCGAAGGCTCGCCAATAGTCGCTTCTTTCTGGGACCGTGACATCGATGGTGGTGATAGCGTCGGCTTGGATTATATCACTGAATTGCCGAGCCATGGACTGAATGTCGCCGCGAGAAACTTCGAGAGAGATGAACGGGAGGTGTTGTGAAAGGTGCGATTCGCCGCGTTGACTATCAGAAAAGGACGGTAGCTCATCCTTTGTCAATTCGAAAGTGACGAATTCTTGTCCGAGCCCGACGTGCAACGACGGGCTCCACGGGGCATGGGAGGCGTAGAGAAGCTGTAATCTCGGTGTTGTGAGTGCGGCAGTCCCCTCACTGTATTCGCCACGGATACGGAGATGCAAAAGCCGGGGAAGGTCCATCAGCGACCAAAGATGCCAACAGGAGTTGTCGAGGGTATTGATATGCAACTCCGCAAGCTGGGGTAGACGGACTGCGTCGATTGGTATGGTCGAAAGAGCCGGGCGTGCATCGAACAATTTGAAAGACATCAACGCCGGCATCAATCGCAACGAAGAGATGATGTCATTAAGACTGAGTGGCATAGACCTCATAGGTAGCCCATTGACGTTGGATGTGTAGTGAAACTGTGTAAGGCTCGCAGAGCCGCTGCCCCATGGGAAGATAACGCCAGTGACATCCAGGCAGCGTAGTGCCGGTGCCGCATCAGCTAGCAATTGTGGGTAAAGCGATGCGCGAGATTCTTGCAGTCCTGTCGCGGGATAGTCTGTTGAAAACAGCCGGAGCACTTGAAGATGGGGTAAGGGCCCGGTCAGACCATGCGCTAGCTCTTGAAGTTGATGGTACTCGGCAAAGTCCAGGGAGAGCTCTTGCAGTTGATCCTGGCTCTGGATGATGGATCGTACGCGTTCTGCCGCGTATGACTCTCTGTCCAATAAGCCCTTGACTACAAGGGGGGATCCGCTTGCTCGTTCGACGAAGATCTTCCAAGGTTGTCCATCATCTGGGGATAAATGGGCCCAAAGCCACCGTTGCTCCAGACAGATGTTGCGCATGCGTCGGCAGACGTGCGTCACGGTAACCCATCCGAGGGTCCTTCCACCTGAGCGATATGCAGAACCTAGGTAGATAGGCCAGATATCCCTGAGGAATGAGACTATGTGTGTCATAACCTCTGGTGGCAGCATAGACACCAGGGCAAGTTCGTTCCGTCTCTCATTCACTGCGCTCAGGAGAAGACGTATGTCTATGATTTCTTCTTCTAGACGATCCATCGTAGATGACGCTTGCGCGTCGGTGGGTCCGATCCTCGGTATAGAGGCATCTATCGACTGAAAGGCGTCCAGATAACGCGTGCGCGCGAGTGCACTGAGAGGCATGTTAGGGTATTGACGTGACGTAGTATGTCGACGCGCACCTCGAGTACGATGTCGATCTACTGTACGACATCAAGGGTGCGAGGATGGTGGTCGGGAAGAAGGCCCACGAGGCGCTTGGGCTTCCTTTCTTAGTAGATATATGGGGAGCGGCGCGATTCTCACGGCGTCATGAAACTCACACCGGCATCACACCAGTGGATACTGTGATTTTTTCGCCTCACCGTTCCAAGAAAAGGAACAGTCCATCAAGCAGCCGCCTTCGCCCTCAGCTTGCGCTTCGTCGCAATGACAGGCGCGATTATTCTTCTCACCATGTCGGAACTTGACGCATCAGACCGGATCGCCATGTAATGCCAAATAAAGATGAATATATGTGACCCCACGCTCTAGCATTAATGTGGCTGCTGAAGTACATGCCTCGCGACAGTGTCTACTGTTCCTGTCCAAGCCGTGAACGAACTCAACCGATAATGAGCTTGCCCTCGGCGTCGTTGATCTCGTACTCCGGGATCTCGAGGTTGAGCGGGGCGGGGCCCTTACGTGCGCGACCAGCTGTAAAACCGAAGTCAATCCACTGTGGATGTATAGGATAACGGGAAGCGACATACAGATATCGTAGTGAGAACCGTGGCAAGGGCAGAACCAGCCTCCGTAGTCGCCCGACTCGCCAATGGGCACACAACCCAGATGGGTGCAAACGCCCAGCATGACAAGCCACTCTGGCTGCTTTGCGCGCGACTCGTCAGACTCGGGGTCACGCAGGGACTTCCAGTCGACCGAGCGGGCCTCGTCGATCTCCGACTGGGTACGGTGACGGATGAACACGGGCTTTCCGCGCCACTTGATGATGACGTTCGAGCCTTCGGCAATGGTGCTCAGATCGACCTCGACCTTGGCGAGCGCGAGAACGTCCGCGGAGGCGGACATGGTCGCCAGGAACTCCGTCACCGTCGACTTTGCGGCCGAGGCGGAGAGAACACCCATAGAGCCGATCATGAGGTATGACAAGGCGCGGTTGCTCGATTCGTCCTTGGACTTATAGTGCGAAAAGTCGGGAACGTTCGGTGCGTCGCGGCGGGCAACTGAGGTGTGCATCAAGCGATGCTGGTGCGCACCAGTGGGCAGAGCTATTTCAAAATATCAGTATTTTGTATTTTGTTCATATATAATATATACGCACGAGTAACGAAGGACTTCTTCGAGCCAGCCGAGAAGCGGACGGCAAAAGGGGATGGTGCGCTGTGACGCGCGCCGTCATGGCCGTGGTCGCCCGAGGAGACATGGCGGAAGGAGATGCCGGAGGCGGCGGGAACGCCCGAGGCGAGCGTGCGCACGGTCGGCGCGAGGGTTGTGTACTTTTTGGCGACGCCGAGGGTGGCCATTGAGGTCGAGGAGGAAGTAGGAGGCAGAGTTGGAGAACACAGCGCGCGCGCGAATCGAACGCACCCGATTCGCGCCTCGCCGGCCCGTTCCGGCAACTTCCGCCCTCTCGCCCCGATTTCGTTTTTCGCTCTGACCACGACGATCGCATGTTATACACGCTGTTACCGAGACCTTAGTACCCTTGGTAGGGCGGACAGAACGGTGCAAGAGTCAACAGGAAACTCTACTTGGGCGCTCGCAATCGAAGTTGACGGAATACATCTTCCGCGATCCTGCGGAGTACAATTTGACTCTTTCGCAACCATAGAGTACCGGAGATCGTTCATCTTAACTCATGTAAGGTTCTCAGATGGCTGTGGGTACTGCTAGAACGAAGAGAGTCGAAGATTAAGCCCTTGTCGGAACGGTCACGGCCGTCAAAACGGCCGTAGCGCGCGAGCATCTGCATTTTCCCCCTGAGACAAAGCGCCGAGCGAGCGCCCTACTACAGTCAGTCTATGACGCCGTATATCAACACGGGAAAGCAACGGTAGCAGCCCCTCTCGAGGTGCTACCAATGCTGATCACCGAGCTGAACAGGTTCCCCTCACGATACTTGGTCGCGCGCGGACATCAAACGCGGTTTTGGTTCTTGAACCGAAGGGGCAACGGTGGAGGGTAATTTGTGAGGAACAAATAAAGTAGTCTATCGACTTATCGTACTGGCCCATGCCTACAGGTAGCCAAGTCATGATGCCAATATACAACGTCGTGTCTCACGCCCGCACTCTACTCCTCCTCGTCACTTTCCTCCAAGGATCCTTCGTAGAAATCCCAATTCAACACGCCTACGAAGGACCTCCAACGTTCCACCCAATCGAAACGCACATCGCAGCCCATGATATCCAACTGAGCAAGTGCTGTACAAGGATCCTTTGCACGATCCTCGATGACCGTCTCTAGCGCATACTGGTTGACTATACTCCTAGACCTGGGATCGTCGAAGTGGACGGATGTGCATCTTAGTCGGGCCAGGGCGGGGAAAAGTGTCGCTTCACCCTCAGGAGCACGTGTACGTCCACGTCGAGCATGGGCGGGCGCGAGAGCTTGCAGACATTCGCCAGCACTATCCCGAACATCGAGGTGAAGGGTAGTGACGGATTGCAAAGATATGAAAGCGTCGTAGAACATGTCGTCGTCCCAGTTATCGCCAGATATGCCCAGGTGCTCAACAGTGTCGAGGGACGCATCGTGAACGATCTGTTGCAGTATACGCCCGGCGTCATAGCAGAAGAGTTGCATGGTGATGCGGGACGGCTCCTTACGTCGAACCGTCCCAGTACCGATGTCACTTCCTTCCCCGTCGGCATCACCGCTCAGCGCCTCCTCGGTCAACTCGAACCCTAAGTATCCAGCATTTCCATTCTGCACAAAACAGATCGGGAATCGTGGGGCGCGGGGTTCGTTAATGTGCGCGCAGAGTTTGGATATGATGAGTGGCTCTAAGGCCGGCTCCACGAGGTTGTTGCCGTCGACAACAATAGTCGCGGTCGGCGGTACATGAAGATGCAACCATAGATGCCAACATGATATATCTTCGGTCCTGATCTCCAGATACACGAGATGAGGAAGTTGAATGTCGGGTATTTGAGAGTCGGGAGTATAGTGTTCGAGTGCATTGACCACCGTCAGTGTCTCCAAAACTGGCATCACGCGCAGTATAGATGTCATCTCGGCGAAGCTGTGCTTGTTTGGCACAAGCTGGCTCGATTCTGCACGGGGAAATCTGATAGTAAAATGTGCCAAGTTGCTGAAAGAGCTCGCGGCGGCGCCCCGAGGAATCGCGACATGGGTGAGATCCATGGAGCGTAGATTAACCGCGTTGGAAAGGAGTTGTGGATGAAGGTTGGGCATCTCGCCATCTGATTCAGGAGAAGTACGCAGGGACAATCTGTCCAGAGGTATGCCCGGATCCATAAATCCAAGCAATAGTCGTTGGAGATGATCCCCTGGTACGTCGCGGAGGGCAAGGCTCCTGAGACGGTGTTGCTGCCCGAGGATAGCGTCAATGCGGTCTTTCGTGTACACGCCCCTACCAGCATAACCTTCGATCCATAGTTGACGCCCCCTTTCCTGCTCCACGATGTCGTCCCAGAGCGGCCCCCAGTTCAAAGACAGCGCCATCCACGAGGGTGCGCGGTCGATGCAAATGTGGCGCCAACGACGACAGACATGCGCAACGGGCAGCCATACCGGGTTCCTAGGGTTAGACGAAGACTGAGAGGTGACGGGGTCCACGTCCAAACAAAGAGTGAGGAAGATGTGAGCCAGAACTTCCGGAGGGAGTTTGGACGGAAGGGCGAATTGATTGCGTCTCTCGTTCATAGCACTGAGCAGTGCACGTATGCCAATGACTTCTGCATCGATGCGAGCACGTGTTTGGTCGATATCAACGTCGACGTGCTGATTGCTGGGGAGCTGGGCGTCGAGCTCTCGAAAGGTGTCTAGCCAGCGTGCGCGCGCACTTGACCTTGTTGAACGGTCAAAACAGGACACGAAGTGCGGGAGCGGGAGCGTAACGCACTGCATAGACGACGCATCTTCACTCTGCGATGTAGGCTTCATGCACAACTTCTGTGGTCTAATAGGACAAAGTATCTGATTTTGCGAGAAAATGCGAGATGGTGGTCGCAAGCAGGTTGCTCACACGAGCCTGGAATCGCGCACACGCGGCGCTCGCGATCATACGCGGCTACATGGGTTCTCGCGGCTGAGCACTGTATGCTATTCGCCTTCATCTCTCCGCAGGTATGTTCAGACTTGTATCTGTACGATACTATATAACGATAACGGACTGTAGATTAGCGATTCCTCTGCGCTGCTGTACAACCTCGATCTTTGATAAACGCCGTGCGCAATTCATCGTGGGAGCAATCATACATTGACGTCTGCGCCATCGAGTTGCGGGACATCTGGAGCGTTGTTCAGCGCTATTTGCAACGCCATGTCGCCTTCGCGCACCAACCCCTCAACCCAAGAAGTCAGATTGGCCCCTGGCAATGAACGCGTCAAGACCTTCCGCAACCGTCTTCTCGTCGCCTCCGACTATATCAATCGCAAGGCCCGAAGCATCCGGTCGGTCAACGAGGATACTCAGTGCGAGAGCGACATCGTCACGCTATCTGTAGTCAATATGCCAGGCCTATCCACAAACTTGAGGACCACACACCGAGATGGACGGAGACAGGTGAGTGCGGCCGACAGAGGCCTTGCCGGTGCCTGGCTCATCGGTGTACCAACCCGGTCGGACAGTTGTCCACTTGAACGCAGTGCGTTGAGCGAGGTTCTTGTCCGCCAGATACTGAGTCGCCACATTGTGAGCTCGAAAGGCCTTGCAGATCCACATGACGCCCGACATACCTTTGCGTTCAAGTACGGCCCGATCATCTCGCGGTTCATCTTCGTCATTTCGAGGTCACCTTGGTCCTAAACAGAATACTGATGAGGTATGCTTTAATTGGGAACTTGATCAAAGACGTACGTAGTGGGGTGGAGGGGGAGCGTTGTGGTCGCGCGAGTCGGAGCTGCCGATGAGAACGAGCCGCGGCTTGTTCGTGCCCGGTACAGCCTCGATAGCGTCAAACACCTTGATAGCGCCCTCCGCATCGATCTTGGTGATCCGCTCGAGTGTGCCTTCACTGCCAGATCCCGCAGCAAAGACAACAACGTCTTTGCCGGTGAAGGCCTTTGCGAAGTCAGACGTGGAATTAGCTTCGAGCGAGAGTAGGAGAGGTTGGATCGAGGGGGAGATCGCCTTCAGGTCGGGAATATGGTCCTCGGTACAAATGATAGAGGTCACAGCGTGTTTCCCGTCGTTGGCGAGTAGTTTGGACAGACGAAGCGCGACCTGTACAAATCCTACGTCAGCGAATACCAATGCCAGCCTGTCATCGCTCATACTTTGCCGTGGCCGCCGACGATGATGACTTGAGTGGTAGACATGTTTTAGTACTCGAGACTCTTGTTCGGGCGGTATGTATGAGACTCGACCAGTGTAGAGTAGCAGGCTATATAGGCAGTCTGGCGATCCACATGATTCGACTTCCGCGAACGGTAATCGTTCAGCCGAGTGACTCGCCTGGCAAACAGACAAGCACCCTAGGAGTCAGGGACTAGCCGGATCGCTGCGAAAGCCCACCCGCCAGACCTCTTAATCGATCCGGGGTGAGCGGAATAGGACGAGAAGTGGGTCTGGATCTAGTTCTGATGCGCGGCCTCTGGCTCTGTGGGCTTTGGCGAACGGTTCGGAGCCTTCCCTCCAGCTTTGATAGATGTAGGCATAGTCATCGTCATTTTGTGGCTGCAAGCTCACTGCATGGCCTTGTGTACGGGTTCATCGGGGATATCGAGAAGACTAGGTACGCCAGGCGAGGTTGACGGGAGGCTCAGGCGTCTGGACTGCGCTTCGCAGACCCACGTCGAAGGCCGGACGATTGAATCAGTCTCGTATCCAGCCGGGCTGCGCGGAGCAGGCAAATAGGTGCACCCCATATGATTGAAGCCTGCAGAGCATGTCGATGTCAGACAGTGAGATGGTGGCAGGAGCCGAGGGTGTGCGAGGCCGCGCGCGGAAGCGTCGTCGGAGTTATTCGGCACCGCGTCCACGCCACATGGCTCTCACCACCATCTCCCTCTTTACTGTATCCACACGATAGATCCTCCCTTATTCCCTCCTAGGTGCAAGAAATCAGGAAACAGCTTACAATGGCGTAATGCGATGTATGTAGTGTAAGTAGTTCGTGGTAGGAGGGTTTATCGTAGTACAGTATTACGAGGATAAGTGACGATCGGTTTACACTAATACTACAATGAATAGAGTCTTCAAAATGAATCGTACTAAAACATGCCCATATCCCAAGGATCATCAAAGTCAGAATCGATATACGGCCCATCGAATTCGAATTCATCGTACGGCCCGCCGTATCCATAGTCGCTCTGCTCATCGTCCGGCTGAGCGAGCTCTCCTTCATCCCCGTCCCAGTCGACCTGATCAACAAGTTCTCGCCACTCATCCACCCACTCATCCAATACGTCGCAGGAGTCAATGTCTAAGGTCTTCAGCTTCTTGCCGAAGAGCTCTGAACGCTCGATAAACGCGCGACCTAGAGCTATATGGACATTCATAGGCAGGCCGGGGACGTAGATGTTTTCGTCGAAATTGATGACGGAGCATGCCAGCGCGTCCAACTTCGGGAAGAGAACATAATCAACGACAGGTTCCAGTGTCGTCTCCGGAGGTGATAGAGCAAACGAAGGTCTCAATGCCATCACGCAGTGTCCCGCCCCGTCGCCCATCAGCCTTAGAGTGGTAACTCCGCTCGCTGAACGGAACGTGTCGTAAAAGACTTGGCTATCGCCGAAATCTTCCCCTCCCTTGTACACAAGGTTTTCTACGTCTTTGAGGTGGACTTCGGCGAGCAGTCGTCTGGCCATCTTCGCGGCGTCATCACAAGATAGACGCAATGCTATACCCCGATCTTCACCTCCCTTAGGTACGTGGATCTTCCAAGCTGACTCCGGGCCACGAGGATCTGACACTGAAAAGCGAAGCGAACCCTGCACGGGGATATCGACAATCAAGTTCCGGTAATGTATGAGGGGAGAGGTCCGAAGCTGTTCCCTGAGGCTCGTCACGACGGACTGTTCGAGCGCGGGCGCCAAGGCTCGCTTGCCATGGATGGATATTGATGCTGTAGATGGAATACGGAGCAACGACCACAGACGCCAGCAGGAGTCGCTGTCATTCACGATGTCGAGGACTTCAATGTGAGGAAGGGCGATAGCGCCGGCATTCGCTTCTAACGAGTGGTCGGGGAGCGCGTTGACTAGTTCCAGCATCTTCAGGGAAGGTGTCTGCCGCAAGTGTGTGGCGAATCTCTGCGGGGCTCGTTTGGAGTCGATACGGTGGATATCCGTGGTGATAGTATAACTTCGTCAGGTTTACGGATCCCTCTCCCCAAGGGAAAAGGACGCCAACCAGACGCAGGTCCCGCAGATTCGGCGCCATAGTCGACAAGAACCCGGAGGGAAGGGACGGTAGTATTGTCGTATCAGTTGGTGAACATGCCAGCGAGAGAACCTCCAGTCGATACAGCGGGCCAACGAGGCCGCTGACGAACTGTAGAGCGTACAGGGGTTGCATATTAGAGAGCGTCAACTTTCGTATTCGGTGTCGATGTTCGAGTATCGTGGTGCCGTGATTGAATTGAGAGCAACCTTCAATGACGAGCGACGCGACTTTTGAGCGTTCGAGAAATACGTCCCACGGTTGGCGGCCGTCCGTGCACAGATGGGTCCAGAGAGAAGACTGATTGAGGCAGATGTTACGCCACCGCCGACAGACGTGCGAGACGGATACCCAGCCTAACGACTTGGTCGGTTTCGAACCCGTTTCAAACATTAATAATGGCTTCTCCAGAACCATGGAGTCGACGGCAACGAGAATCGAGAAAATGTACGCCATGATTTCCGGCGGAAGCATCGACGGCAATGCGAGCTCGTTGCGCCGCTCCTTGACAATACAAAGCACGTCCTGAAGCTCAAGGACCTCGGCATCAAGTTGATCGCGTACTTGGGGCGTGTCTTTTGAGGTGGGAAGTGGGCGCGGTAAGGTGAGATCTAAAGCGCGGTACGCGTCGAGCCATCGCGACTGCGCGGCTCTTCTTCGTGCGCGACAGAGTCAGTGACTGGGAGTCTCTGCGGCTAGAGACCACGCACTGGGTGGGTGGAATATGACCCTCTTCGGACATCAAGTGTGATAGCAGGTGCCGTGGGACCAAGCTCACGATGCGCTCTCGAGAAGGTGACGGTCGAGAGCAAGAATGCTGTGGCGCACTGACGAGCGGTGTCTGTCGGGAAGGCGGCCCGGGCGGCGCCGCTCGGGCCGCAGTTCCTGAAAGTCACAGGTGTTTGTATAGCAGTCGTTCGACCCAACAAACATGCTCTTCAGCGAGCGCACTATCAGCTACGTATGAGCATGTCCTAACGCATCGGTCTTACGATCACCGTGAAATGCTGAGGTGCTCCTACGCCGGTGTTGAATGTCGAGCCCTTGGTCACTCACGTCTGCTCCGAGGTTTACGACCATTCAAAAGCACGACTTGTCGTCAGAATGACATTATACATCATGAATAATGTAATAACATAATTTTCCGCGCTACCCAACCAGTCAGAAAGGCCGGCTAACAATAATATCATCACTCGTCCTCGTCTTCCTCATCATCATCCGACCCTTCCTCAAGAACTCCCTTGTCGTTATCCCAATCAAGACGCTCGACCAAACCCTCCCATTCCTCAATCCAGACTGAAAGAACGTCGCACCCCTCAATGTAGAGGTATTGGACAGGTGCCCCCAAAAGGCTTCGGCTGCGAAGTACCTGCTTGAAGATGTCGAACGTGAAGCTATACTCCTCTCCATGCGCGATTCGATCGAGGAAGTTGACATTGCTGCATGTGAGTTCGCGCAACGCTGGAAACAGTAAGGAGTCTTTCAACTCTGGTTCGTTTCCGGCGGCGCCAGTTGCCTCGATGGCTATCAAGGCATGCAGCACGTAGCCGGCCCCACGACCGGATAAAGTTAGGTTTGTCACCGAGCGCGCAAGACGGAGGGCCTCGCCAAACATCCGACATTCCTCGAGACGAATGCTACTCCATGTTAAAGTCCGGATGTTCTCAAGTGGACATCCTGATATGATTTTTCTGGTCATGTCGATCGATGGGCCACCAGAATACTGGGCGTGCAAATCGATGGTCGGCGGCGCAAAACGCCCAGGCGTGCGCCACATATCGTCAGAGACGGTCGGTGATGCAAGTAAGAATCGAAAGCCGTCGGATACGGGACTGTCATCGTTGCCGTATAGAGACATAGAGGAGTAATGCGGCGAAGGGGACACGCGAAGGTGGGCTTGCAAGGTCCGTGCAATGAGCGAACTCGACGCAGTATCGCCCACTATACCGCGAATGTAGAGAAAAGCGGTGGATGGCATTTGAAGCCAAGACCAGAGTAGCCAGCAGCAGTCGTTATCCCCTTTGAGCTGGACAAACTCGAGACGTGGCAGGGAGATGATTACTTTGTCAGGTGTCGGTGACGAGGGCGGAAGTTCCTCCAGTTGCAACATCTTCAGCGCTGGCATCTGTTGAAGTGTGTGGGCCACATCGAGAAGGCTGTATGTATTGTGTGACGTTCCGCGATAGGGACGATAGTGGAAGCTCTTCACCCTGGCAGCGCCCTGGCCCCAGGGAAATTCGAATCCGCATAGCGATACTTCTTGCAGATTTGGCGCAAATTTGGTGAAAAAGTCGGTAGGGAAAGAACCGAGCTTCCCTTGAGCATTGCGCGTCGTCATATTAAGAGACAGCTTCTGTAGCTCTGGCATAGGTCCGCATAATCCGATGGACAGGTCCAACAACAGGGATAAGGGGATGTCATAGAGCTTGAGCTCTCGGATGTGGTGTCGATGGTCGATTATGAGATGAAGATGTGATATGCCGTCTTGTGGTTCCCTGAGAGGGCCAAATATTACCAAGGGCGATTCCTTTGCGCGCCCAAGGAACGTCTCCCATGGAAAGTATGAGTGAAGGTCGAGATGCGTCCATAGCGACGATTGACTGAGGCAGACATCGCGCCAGCGCCGACAGACATGGGATACAGAGACCCAGCCTATGGTCTTGGCCCGCGGCGGAAACCCGATTAGGCTTGTATACAGGGATATGGGAGCAATGGCGGCGAGAAACGAGAAGATAAGCGCTAGAACCTCCGGGGGAAGTACGGAAGGCGGAGCAAGCTCGTTGCGTTTTGCTCTCATCGCAGCACGGAGACTTTCTATTCCTTCCAACTCTGCGTCGACCAATTCGCGCACATGAGCAACGTCTGGAGATGTTGGCGAACTCCGTGGCAGAGTCTTGACCGACGCACGATATGCGTCGAGCCATCGTTCCCGTGCCACCTTCCTTCTTGATATGTTAGACCCGGTTTGTGCATCATTAGGTGAGCACGTACCAAACGTCCGAAAGAGGGGAACTTTCCATCCTCAAAAAAACGGCCTTGCAGCCAACTTGCAGCAGCAGTAAGGTCACGAGACGGGAGTGATGATGGGTGTCGAAAGCAAGTGGCGACCGTGACTTCGCGCCGACCGCCATGATCCCCACGCCGGACCTCTCGCATCTCAAGAAAAACGACTATGAACACGTCTATGAACCTGCTGGTGAAGCCAGCCTACATACTCCGATTGGTCTAGAATTGAACATGGCTTTCAGAGGATACATTTATTCTACTTGATGCACTCGAAGAGGATGCCGAGGCTTTGCGCGCTCTAAAACCCAGCGTCTGCCTTGAGGTCGGGCAAGTGCGCTTGCTCTGCGCTTCCGGCACCAAACCTGAACTCCTGTATCCATAGCTCTGGTTCGGGCTGCGTCTCCGCCTTCCTAGGCTCGATCCTTGGCTCATCAACTACTCGTACGGCTCCCATCACCCACGCCGTCGACCCAACATAACGCGCGTCCCCAGTCTACCTCTGCACGGACATTAACCCTCACGCAGCACGCTGCACATACCGAACAGGCGTACAGAATAAGGTGCCGCTAGAACCATTATTGGCCTCGCTCGCGGGACCTCTACGCCAACGTCTCGAGCGGCGCGTGGACGTGCTCTTGTTCAATCCGCCCTACGTCCCGACATATGACGAAGAAATGTCAGGCGCACAAGATGGCGGGGATATAGCTGGTGCATGGGCCGGAGGTGCAGACGGGATGCGCGTCACAGACGTGCTTCTCAACCAGATAGACGTATGTCGACGCCTACGACTATCCGCCGTGCTTCCACTGATGCCAGTCTCCAGTCTCTACTGTCGCCAGACGGCCGTTTCTATCTAGTTGCAGTCAAGGAGAACGATGTGCCCGGTATACAGCAACGAATACGAGAGCAGTATAGTCTATACAGCGATGTCGTGCTGCACCGCCGAGCCGGGCGCGAACATCTGTACGTCGTGCGATTCACCCGTAAACCTGTATAGAGTACCCCGTGATACATCCATGCATCGAACTTCACACAAATGATCTTGCAGATACGCAAACCAGTCATTTTGAGTGTCGTACAAGTACATACAGATCGTAAGTAATCGAGACGAGAGCCGTATCAGAGGATTCGAAAACGAGAACGAGAACGCGAGAGACGATTACACGGGGCAGAAACAGTCCGTATGCGTCCGTGTGTGAGGGAAAGTAGGTGATGGGGTAGGTAGATGGGTGCATGGATGGGGTAATGATGGTGATGAAGATGATGAGGGTGAGAGTCTGGATAAGGGAATAAACAGTACGCTAAAAGATGAGACGAAAGAGCGATGCAGACGATCAAAGCGTCCAAAGATGATGTATAAAAGAAGCAAGCAACAAGCGCCGGGGGACGAGGGACACCTACTCCTCTTCCTCGTTCCCAGACCCGCCGTTCCCGTTCCGCTGCTGCCTCCTCACGCTGAAGCGCGACGGCGACGAGAACGAGCTGCTGATCGACTTGCGCGGCGATCCTCCGACCTTCGGGTCCGAGTCGAACGCTAGGCGAAGCTTGAGGATACCCGAGCCCTCGCGGAGCTCGACGAAGACGTCCGCGGCAGACTCGCCGACGGGCTGGATGTGCTTCCAGATCTAAAAGGCAACAAGTCAACATCGTGCATTCAAGGAGAAATGAAAGAGAGATTACGCACATCGACCTCCGCCTCGCCCAACGGCTTATCCTTCCCCAGCTTATGATGATCATAAACCGTCGCATACAGCTTCGGCGTAGAAGCCGAGCACGAGAACTCAAGCGTCTCATTCCACTCCGGCGCAACAGTCTTGCCCGCATGCTTCGTCTTGTGCTCGCGCTCCCCAACACGCACAAGCACATACGGCTTGGGCGTGTCCTCCGCGCTCAGGTCCTTGGCATCCATGACGGTGACACGGAGCATCCCGGGGTCGACGGGCGGTGCAATGTGCTGATTGTGCGCGTTGCCATTCGCATCGACGGCCGTAGCGCCCGTAGCGCCCATCCGATCGCCGGCGCCTACGGGCTGCGACATCTGCCCGCCCGGCAGATCCGGCACATTACTCCTAACGGGCGTCTCCTCGTCGCTCGAATCGTGTCCTCCGCGCTTGAACACGCCCGTAACGCCATGGAACGCGCCCTTGCCGAGCTTGAGCGGCGCAGCGCCGACCTGCGTCATCGCGCGTCCGGCGGTGGAGAACGTCGAGGTGTTCTTGCGCGAGCGCGCGATGATCTCGGGCTGGAAGAGCATCGAGATGCGGATGGTGCCGACGTCGGCGTGTTTGGTGTGAGAGAGGGAGATGGTGCGTTCGGTGCCGTTGAAGGGCTCGATGTCTTCGAGGTTGATCTTGCCTTCGCCGAGGAGCTTGGCTTGTTCGATCTGGTTCCAGTCGTAGACCTCGACGGAGAAGTCAGCACCGACACGCGAGGGCTAGGTAGAAGTCAGCATTCACTTTGGCTTAGACGAGGAGAGAAGTACGTACAACGTTGACGATGAAGTCCTCGTTCCAAGACGGGTTAAGCGTCTTTTTCTTGGTCTGCGACTTGAAGACCTTCTGGCCGTTAAGCGAGAAGACAGCGTAGGGATCCGACTTGCCGCCACGGTCAACGCCGCGGATACCCTGGCCGTCCATAAGCGTAACGCGGAGCACACCCATGTCTGCCCGAACTCATCAGCAACAGTTCTTCTGCTTGGGTAGAGATGAAACGTACTGTTGATGCTCTCGCGCGGCTCAAGCGTAACCGGCACCGGCACATACCGCGCCTCCAACTCAACAGTCCCCACAACCTTATCGTCCTGATTCTTCAACTGGAATTTGCTCGGCCCCTCCATAGCCTGCGCCAAAAACGGCTTCATATCGCTCTTCCACTCCCCCAAAATCTCATCCTTATCCCCCTCATCCGCCTCGTTCAACCTCAAAATCACCCGCCCAAAGTCCAGCTCCTTCACGAAGCCCTCGCCGACGTACAACCACTGCGCCCTTGTGCCGGGCGCGCGGGGCGTCGAGAATGCCGGCCAATACCCGTCGTCGAGCAGCACCTCCAACCGCGCCTTCTTCGCCAGCTCCGCGCTCTTCACATGCACGACCAGCACACCGCTCTGCTGCTCGAGCAACCTCTCCTT